ATTTGAGTCACAACAACAGTACCGAGTGCAAAAAGAGTACTGTACTCTTATGTACTCAAGCTACTCTAATTCAGACGTAAGACGCTAGAGATGCTATTTTAAAACTTTAATTGCTCCTTTCTTTCAAAAGTGCCAATGGTTGAATGAGTGACACCAGTTATATGAAAAATTTTCCAAATTAGACGTTTCTAAAAAAACTAGGTTGGTAATATTATTCTCTTACCTGCTAGTGTGGCTGCTGCAGCTAAGCCTGCTGCAGTATATGGGTCAGCACCTGGTGGCGCAGCACTGATAATGTATGGGTTTGGCACAAAAGCAGCTGGAGCCAAGCCTGCTGAAAATACACCTGTTACAGTAACAAAAGGTTCAATTTCACCAAAAACAAGCATTACATTCACTGTCATAGTCACTGGGATTAAACCAAACCACCTTTAATTTTACTGGGTTTAGAAATTCACACTACCTATACCTGAATTGATTTCAATGGCAAAACATTGGGGCCAGAGAGAATTCATGTTTTGGGATGGAAGGGGACACATCACATTTTCCTTCATAGCCTCCAATGACATTTATACAATATAATGGATGGAGCACAGGCGTCAGAGAACACATGCTTCAGACATGTATCTTCCAACTTTGATTCTGCCCCCCCCCCCCCCATTCTTTTTTTTCTGGGCCACTATGGGCTTGACCAGGCATGTTTGCTCTGTTTTACCTTTTTTAAAATTACAACTTCTTTCTGTATACATGGAGAGTTCCCACCTCCTGCAACGGTTAGCGGTGTACAAAAAAAAAGTCAGCATTTTTTAGCTCCGGGTATATCAGACTTGAAAAATGTTGGTAAGTGCCAAATTCCCCCAGTCCAATACTGGTAAAGTATCAGTATTGCCGAATATATTCACGTCTGATATGCCCAACAGGAGGGAAGGGAGAGATGTTAAAATGCCTTCTTTCCCTCACAAAGCCCCTGCAGCTTTCCTGGTCGATTTCACTCCCCACCTGTTAGGTTTAAGCCATTTAAACCGATGCCTGTGCTGTCTTTGCCTGCCCTTCTCCAGCCCTCCAGCCACCGCAGGGCAGTTGAAGAAGAGCAGTCAGGGAGCCCAAGCATGTTTCCATGCCTGCCTTTGGCTTCCCCAGCCACCCACTGACATGGGAACATGGAAGGGCAGGCATGGAAACATGCCTGGGCTCTCTGCCTGCCCTTCTCCAGCTGCCCCTCAGCAGCTGGGCAGCTGAAGAAGGGCAGGCAGAGATAGCGCAGGCATGTTTAAACGCAGGCATGTTTAAATGCCAAACTTGGGGAGGGAAAGAAAGGCATTTAAACATCCCAATCCAGACTTTCCCTCCCCTCCCCTCCCTAAGTCTCTCTGCAGCAGGGGAGAGGCTCAGGGAGGGAAGGAGGCATGTTTCCATGCCTTCCCTTGGCTTCCCCAGATGACCCGCTGTGGCGGGCGGCTGGAGAAGCCAAGGGCAGGCATAGAAACATGCCTGGTCTCCCTGCCTGTCCGGGGCAGCTGGAGAAGGGAAGGCAGAGAGGAGGCTTCCCTGGTCAGTTTCACTCCCACTGGCCTGTCAGCTATTAGGTTTAAGTGGCTTAAACCTAACAACTGACTGGCAGGGAGTGAAATTGACAAGGGAAGCCACAGGGGGAGGAAGTCGCATTCTGTTACCCGAAAGGCCAAATAAATTTGGCAAACTATTCATTTGCTGAAAAGTTTCCTGAATTTGCATTCGGCTTAGGAATACCAAATAAATACCAACAAGGCATTTATTTGGTATTTTTTTGGATTGGGGAAGCCAAATGCACACCCCTAGTAATTGTATGTAGAAATCCCTACTTTGTATATAAATAGTCTCATTTTGTTACCCAGCTGACTGATATTGGATCATCAATAACACTACTAGAAGCAGCAAGCTAGGGGCTGATAAGGAATACTGGGGGGCAGCGTCTGGAAATCCCACCCCACTTCAAAATCTCCCCATCTAGGAATCTGAAATCTCTCACTGGCCTGAGCCTGCTAATGTCCCCTCCACACTTTCAACTCTCAGCTGCTCAACTTCCCATGTCCCCTGAAAGATGCTCAATTCTTATCAAACATGGGGAGAGAATGTTTGATAATTTATACCTTATTTTTCCGCTATGTAGAAACCCCTTCCTCAGGACTGGCTCAGGGCCAGCCAATTAATTATTGGAGGTAGCAATAAAGCTAAAGCATCATCTATTGTTAACTGCCAAAAATGTACATGATTATGAGCTGCTGTGGGCATTTTTAAACAATATATTGGAATACTGTATTATAAAAGATGCAAGTGGAGTTTCGATAAGTCTGACTTTGTGCAATCTGCTACCAGTCTTTTTTCTTAACTTCCCCCTTATGCAAGAGGTCGAGCACAAGCAGAATTTTTGTGCTGGATCCAACTCATCGCCACCATATCAGAAAATCAAACACTTGCTTTTCCAATAAGATACATCGTCTGCAAAACACATCAGCTCAAGTCAGCCGGTTTTTCCTAACAGATATATATTATACATTGGCATATGGAGCAGACATGCTCTGAAAAAAGAAATCTCACCTATATGAGGTTGCTGAGCTGCTGCCAGTGCGTACTGTTGTTGTTGGGCTGCTGTTAACTGCTGAACAGTAAGAGCATTAGTCCTCTGGAAAAGCTAAAGAGAAAGCAACATTTTTTATTGTTTTGGAAACACTACCACATACTATGCACAGTTCTTTCACAGTTCATAGGACTGCACAAGTAGTGCCATGGATTTTGAAGCTGAGGTAGAATTCATTTTTATATTTAGCAGACTTACACAGGGGGGCTTCTGACAAAAGTGGCATTGTGTTGATTACTCCCCATTTCTTATTGCAAGATACAGATGAACTTACACAGAACACTGTCTTGCACATTTTCTCACCAACAAATGATATGGAGCTGACAATGTGAGGAAAACAAACAACAGAATAGATTCCGCAACATATAGTTAAGGACATAGAGGGGAGTAACTCATTACGGAGCTGATCAAAGTTTGGGTCCAGTGGCACATTTAAGACCAACAAAGTTTTATTCAAAGTGTAAGCTTTCATGTGCAAAACACATTTCTTCAGACAAATTATGGAGCTGTTGTTTTTGGTCACAGACCATGTTTGTTATAATGTACTTCAAATCTTAAAAATGACCATACCAAAAACACTAACCTGCTGTTGTGAACTGTAATCAAAAAGTCCCACAGTAGCTCCTGAAGAGTCCATTTGTACCTGATTCCCGGGATAATCAAACTGCAGAGAATCTAGACCAACTTGTTCCATAGTATCTAAATTCTGAGATTCAGAGTTCGAAAACTCTTCTACCAGAGGCTTATGGGCTGTAGGATTAGGAAGGGAAGCCAGTCCTTCGGCAGTGCTTGGGTTGGGTCCCAGGCGCTCAGTTACTTCAGTTGGGGAGGCTTGCCGACTTCCAGGAGTACGACTGCTTAGGAAAAATGAAAAATAATGTCAGTTTTTTGAAAACTGTTTAAAGCAATGGAGTTTGGGAAAGTTTACACATTTTAAGTGTGCTTAATATTAACTGAAGGAGAAAGAATGAGTTAGATTACGGAAACAATTCCTGAAGTCCTTCCCACGGCCAGCACTGCCTCCTGTATCTCACTCCCTATGTCAGGAAACAGTAGGCAGTTTATGTTATGTTGGGGGGGACCTGCAACCAGAAACTCCTTCCCCATGCACCGCATGAGCTTTTGCTCCTTTTGTGGAGTCTGCTCTACACATTTACAAGTGCACCGACAGAGTCTAATTCCTGTTCTGGCTGTAGCCCACCATGCCCCATACAATGCTGTTTGAGAGTACCCCAACCCTTTGGAGCAACTTTTCAGGCAATGCAAGAGCTGGGAAGAGGAATGTGGCAATAAGCCTTTCTGTGAATTTGCTCTGTTCACAGTATGGTTTGAATCAGACCCAATATACATCTGTTCTGAGTACCATGTCAATATTCTTTGTACAGTGTTGTGATGCTATGCCATCTTAACAATTAGTAATGAACCTAAAGTGAATGGACAAACTTGTGAACATAACCAGAACAGACTGCACATCTTCGAAACATGGACAGAAAATGGACATTTCCCTTACTGTCTATTTCCATTTGTTATTCAAGCACCTATTTAATTGTAGGCTAAAAGATATGCTTTAGTGTTTTAAAATTTTCTGTAATATGGTATTCAACATAGTTCCCAAAACTAACACACAAGCAGCTAATAGTAAAATCAACATTAAGGCAACAGCAATTAAATAAGAGCTGAAGAAAAAGAAGTTAACAGAAAAACACCAGGCCTGGCAATGAGCATCCAATTCCACTGCAACACCAGATTCCTCAACAAGCAGATAAGCATAATGACAGCCTAGGAAAGAGGAAGGGAGGATAGGAAATGCTACAAACCAAACACTTCCATTAACAGGGGAGATTTCACTCAGCATTTTCCTCACTTTTCAGGTATTACTGCCCACCTGAATAGTCAGATGGGCAACATCTGTTGTCAAACCCAAATTTAGCAGTAGGTATGGCTTTAAGCTAACCCCCCAAACACCTGTGGCAGCACAGCATATTTGCAGCTGCTGTTTCTTGCCTTGTCCATGACACTGATAAGGAAACTGAAGAGACTAAGTAACACTTGGAAAAATTACCACAAACATTGGGAGGAGACTGGGAATGTGCTCAGCAAAAGGCCCAACTCATAGGCATTGATGAGTTTTTCAGAGAGACCAATAGTCTTATACAATGGATAACATGAAGGCAGGTGGGGATATTCCAGGTGCAGACTCCCTGTTTCACCAAGTTCCAGGCTGTGCTGTCTCTGACTAGTCTACACACAAGATGGGCCCATATCTTGAATATAAAAGAGGCCACAGAAAAGTCACATTTTTTTTTATTCCTAGGAATTTGTGATCTTGCTTTAAAGTTGCACTAAACAAAAAACTATTTGCTATGTCATCAGAATCAGCCACTCTGCCTTTCTTGATAATCTGAGCTGAGACTATAAAAAGTTTGGTGTTTAAAACAGGCAGACACAAATTGCATGAACTTGTCTGCAGGTTCACATTCTGAATGTTAGTTGGAACATGTACAATATTAATATTGAAGAGTACATAAAATACCAAATCTGTAACCTTGAATCACACCGTGTGTATATATTTCGCATAAAGCAGCTACTCTCTCGGTTTTGTGAAATTTCTTCCACACAACATAGTCATCAGGATTAAGGATTTTAAAATGCTGGTTCACAAGGGCTATCCCCTTCTGCTGGTGCTGATATTGTTATAGCTAAGTTGAACCAGTATTTCAGCTATGAACTTGTAACATATTTTCTTTCCATGCCCCTACCAGCCTTTATTTTTTTAAAAAATGATTATGGAATACTTTTACATAGTCTTGACAAAACCTAGTCTTAAACACACCATGCTCTGGCAGAATTCTACACTCTTACCTATAAAACATTTAGTTTCTGTTCAATTGCTTAGGGTCCTAGTATCAGTTTGGCATACTATTACCAGTCCTTATGTGAATAGAGCAATTTTTATGTACATGACAGACATTTTAAGAAATCTATTATACACTTTAAATCATAAACAGTTCCTGTTTTGGCAAGGATAGCATGCATTTCTGAGGCATACGCAGCAATTTAGCAGATGGGTCTCTCAAAAACAGACAAATGATTGTAAACTTCAACACTGTACTATTATACACCACATGCAAGGCATTCTCCTCTTAAAAATTCACATGTTTAGCTTTTGGCAAAGAATTCATGAAAAATCACTGATATTACACCAGTAATATATTTTTCTTGATTGAACATATGCTTTAGATGTTTGAAGTGAATTCAGAGCTAGAAAATAATTTGATGTTTCTAAAAAACACTTTCCATCCACAAAGTCTACAGGTTTTTAGCACTGTGTAATAGGCCCTCTGGGGAAAACATTAGCACTTCAACACCAAGGAGGATCCACTGCTGCCAGAAGACAGGCTGCATTTGAGGATTATTCCCCTCCAAGGACTGTGTACTTCTCTCATTCAACAACTCTTGCAAACTAATCCTAACCAAGGTAACTGAGTCGGAATGCATCAGAATATATTCCAGTAACTGTTCTTGAGGACTGCAGCCTTAAACTATCACATTTGTGAGAGCAGAAAAGATTAGAAATTCTGAGACCAGAAGCCTGGAGATCATATTATTAAAAAGATCTACAGTTACAGAAAGGATGTTATACTGACCAACTGAATTATTTTTCTTCAAGATAATAATATGGTTGCTCTATAAATTTCATTTGGCTATTGTTCTGAATGCATTCTTTATTTTGAAACTGGTCTACAAACTAAATCTCATTTATTGCATAAATTTGAAAACATGAAGGTTACTACCCAAAATCTACAGTTCAGTACACACTCTTTATTGTGAATAAGCCTTAAGCATAGCAAGGTATGCTTGTAGTGGATAAGCCTTAAGCATAGCAAGGTCTGGTGTAGTGGTTAGGAGCGTGGACGCTAATCTGGAAGAACCGGGTTTGATTCCACACTTCTCCAAATGCAGCTGCTGGTGTGACCTTGGGTCAGTTACAAGTTCTTTCAGAGCTGTTCTCTCACGAGCAGTTCTCGAGAGAACTCTCTCAGCTCCACCTACCTCACAGGGTGCCTGCTGTGGGGAGGGGAAGGCAGAGGGCTTGTAAGCTGCTCTGAGACTCCTTCAGGTAGTGAAGGGCCAATCACTACCAAATCCAATCTCCTCTTCTATTGCACAAAACTTAAAGCACAGAAGATCATTACTTCACTGTTCTATCGTTGCAAGGTTCAAAGTGGAGCCAACAAAGAAATGGCCTCCATATCAAGTTAGGCTCATATAAAGTAATATACTACACAGAATTGTTCTTAATGGATGCTTCACAATTGTAGGGCTCTCTCCCTTTGAAGACATAAAGTCCAAGCATCTTTGAGCATTATTTTATTTGGGGCAGCTGATAAACACTACGGTACTTGTTGTATTTTTCCTAATTTTATAGATTTTTCATTTTAAATATTAACTTTGTACAAAACTATGTACAGTCACTAAACACGTAAAAATAAACCACAATATTAAAGATTTAAAAGTAAGTCACTGATATAACAGATAATCAAATTATCCCAGTTTGTTTTTATCCATCTCTAAAAAGTACATTTTATTCATCTGGCGGATGGCCTGAAATAGTATCTGATACACTTCACAGCCTGAAGAACAAAAGTTCACTAATTAGCCATTAAATTATTTTGACCAATTAGCCGCTAAATTAATTTGTGTCATGCAACTCACAATGAGACACTGCAATATGCAGAGCAACACAGAACTTGAACAAATAATCTGAAAGTGAAAAAAGCAAACATATTTAGACACACTTGTCATCCTGATATTAAATTTAAAGGCTTACTTAAAGTCTTTGCAATCGGCATCCATTCCATTCGGCAAACCTCTACCATTTATTTTAGTAACATCGTCATCATCTCCTTGTTTAAGATCTCTGTTTTTGTCCTCCTCAAATGGGGAAGACTTGCCTTTCTGGTCTCCTTTCTCGGGTCCATCTGTTTCAGGTTCTCTAGTGCCCTGAGAAAAAAAAACAGTCTGCTTCATTCTGAATCTTTAACAGAACACAAAACTTCGTAAAATAATCTAATTTTACAGAACACTGCAATGTAAAGACCATCAAGCCAATCAGCATTTGGCAGATATGTTGATTTGCCAAGTTTCAACTTTGTCAAATGTATTACTGGTATATGAAAGAAAGCTGTTAGGGCTTATAGAAGAACCAAATCAACCTTAACTACAGCAGTAAAGTTAACACTACACTAGATTAAAATTGCACACTGTAAAATGCAAAGCTATTCAGTTGAAGAGGCAAATTTTATTGATTTTAAATTATTTTTCTCCTTAAATGTGAGAGTTTCGCAAATGAATACAACCAGTTCATTTAGTTACATGAAAATATTAAAACAACCATAAAAACATCCCCAGGCCTTTTAGACTTTGGTGTATGGAGAGATGAAGGATAACTCATGGTGCAATTTTGCATTCAGATTAGGTGCTAGTCTTGGCTTCTCAGTACAATACTTGAAGACCCTTGGATTCTATACAGCCAAACTCCTCATGAAACAAAAATTGTTAGACCAGAGTGTTCAAACCAATGTAGGTCTAGTAGGCACTTTGAGAACACCTCTACTTTATAGACAGCTCTCTCTCTCTTCCCTGACTCTTCTAGAGTACTTCACCAGTTTAAGGAATTGCAAGTACAGAAAGGTACACTTAGATATTTTACCGCTCGCAGTCTTGGAAGGCCGTTTTAATGGGATCCCATATAGGAAGAGTCTGCTCCTGTGATCAAAAGTCTACTGAGGATCTGTCCAATGTCCAAGATAAGAGGCTGAATGTAATAGATTTTTGCAGACCATAATATCCCGCTTCCCAGGAAGGTCAGATCAGGAGAAATTAGTTATATTAATAGCAGATAGGGACACATTCATTACTTTTCAAATGGCAAGATTTCCTGCCGCCATTATAAAGTATAAAAAGATGATGGGACGGGCTGACCAAAGTATTTCTGACCCGTGAATGACTCATCCACTCTAGGACAGTTGTCATTTGTCACGGGACTGTATGGTCTTCCTTTCTTATTATTAGATGTATTTTTAATAATGCCTTTGTATTTTAATACTTTCTGTTAAAATGATTTTTTATTATTTTATTTTTCAAATTTTATCTTCTTGGATGATTTTTTTTACTTTGTACTGTTGCTATAGCTTTTTTCTGCTAATGCATTAGCAAATCTTCATGTTATGGCTTTTAATATTGCAAACATGGAACATGAAACTTCTCATCAGCTACAGGAAGAAAATTATACAATGAACTTAAATACACAAATTCACTGACACTACTATGGACACATCAGCTGAGTAAAAGGCACTCTAATGAGCAACACGCTATAAAGGATCCAAGGAGACATTCCCAAACACTTCCGTGTGCACAGGACGAAGCATGTCTGATTTCTTCTTCTATGCCCTTAAGCTACATTGGAAGCCACTCTAGAGCATAGCACAGCTTTCATAAGCTGCTTTTCACAGTCAGAGGAAACTTCTGCAAAAGCCCCAGTTGGGTCCATGGAAGCACTGAATGCAGCACTTTGGATCCTAGTTTACTAAGGGAGACACTGATTTCTATGGGGCTAACACTCGCACAAGTAACATGAAGCAGAACCCAACGTGTACACAGACATGCTATTCTTTTCTGTGTGCAACAGAACTGACATATCTGTGCAAATCTCCTTTTACATTGCGTACTTTTAGACTAGTGTCACCACACTGCTATAGCTGAGAATGTCAGTTCTTCTATAAATCTTAACCCTTTCCTACATACAGATCAGAACAGGAATCCAAATTTGAGTTCATTTTATTCCTAAACTTAAATAGGAAAACCAGTGCAGCTTGCCTGGTGGCATAACTGCGGGTGATTTAGCATTTATGGTGATATAACCAAATTACTTACAAAAGCTCCTTTCCTGAACCGGGAGTCCAATTTATCTGCTGGAGAAGAACTTAACACATATTCTACCATGCTCACACCGAGGCCACCACTCTCTGATCGAGGAGATAAGACAGCATTCACTTCACTGTTGCCATGAAAAACATGTCCAGGCTTTCTCTGAACCATAATAGGTTGGGACATGGAGTGATCTGTTTTTTAAAGACATTATAATTGTTATGATATAATTTACACCAATAAAAAATCTAATTTCTTTGCCACAACATTTATCAAGCAATTAAGTATTAAATAGTTTGAAACTGATGGCATTACTGTTCAGTGGTATTTTAATATAATTTAAAAATTAGGTAACCCACATTTTAATTTCTGTAATGCTAGCCTCATTTCAGAAGTTTCATGATCATGAGTTCTTTGAAAGCATGTCACTTCCAAGGTTTTCCTTAGCAGTCTCTCCCCATTTATCACCAAGGAATACGTCAGTGTAGTATAGAGGTTAAAGTATTGAACCAGTATTGAACCAGAATCTGGGAGACCCAGGTCTGAATCCTCACTGCTATGGAAGCTCAATGGGTGAGCCATTCATACACTCAGCCTAATCTACCTTGCAGGGGGGCTGTGAAAATAAAATGGAGACGGGAGAAACAGCATTGTAAGCTGCTTTGGGTCCCAAGTAGGGAGAAAAGCAAGTTATAAATATAGACATAAAACAAAATCACTTACGAGGTGTTCCCCAGGCAGTTTCTCTCCATTCATCACCAAGGAATATGCCTTTTTGTCCATCCTTTGCTGGATCATCTGGTTCCCAAAATTTTTTGGCAGGTAGCAGCTATGAACATAAAGGGGAAATTACCAAACTGAAATATGTATTGCTTCTCACACATTGAAAAATAAAAGCTTTTGCTCTCTGGCAGAAAAGGGATATTAAGAAATCATATACATCAATATATTGAAGTGTTTCAAATCAAAATTAAAATACTGGCTGTAGCCCTGTGCACAGTTACAAGCTTAAGTTCAGCTGAAGTGGATGCTAGCAGTTTACTATAAGCACAGCAACATTTTTATTAAGGAACAGAAATACCGTAATATAAGAGAAGTTATACGATATAATAAACAATGCATATTTTGAAATACAGACTAGGGGGTATGGAATAAAATCCGAAAAATACTGGGTGCACGTACAGAGTGTCCAAAGAAGGTGCCCCTATCCTCCATTGTTTTCAATGGAAGAAAAAAAGCATTTAAGGGGAGGCACTGGGTTTTGCTGGGTACTAGTCTTTGCACTTGGTACTGCTTGGCACTCTGTACATGCACTGGCTATGCTGGGCTTGGAAATCTCCTTTGCTTGGATTTGTTCATCTGGCATTGCCACAGTGGCACTGGTTTTGCTGGGCACTCTGTACATGTACTGGTTCTGCTGGGCACTCTGTACATGCACTGGCTGTACTAGGCTTGCAAAAAAACCCACCCTCGTTTGGATTTGTTGAGCTGGTATTGCCACAGTGACACTGCTTCTGCTGGGCACTACTGTTTCCCCCCTCCATTTAAAATAATGGGTGATGGTGCACCTTCTTGGAACTGGACTCCCTGGTCCAATCTTTTTGTAACTTGGGGGGTCTTTTGAGTAGAGGCACCAGAAGCTATGCTGAAAATTTGGCACCTCTACCTCATAGAACAGCCCCCCCCCCAGCCCCCCAGATAGATTCCCTATTGTAGCCTATGGGCATCATTGACTATAATAGTCCCCATAGGCTATAATAGAGCCAAAGGCATTTAAAGGGTTGTGGTCCCTTTAAATGCACTTGTGAAACTGCAGCTTCCCCTAGAACAGTGTTTAAAGGGAGCACACTCTTTTTAAATGCCAGTTGACTGTGGCTATATCCTGTTTTCCCAGATAATCCTGATTTTGGGTGGAAATATCTGAGATTGGCTATGCTCAATAGCTGAAAATACACCTACCTCTATATCCAGCTGAAACAATAGCCAATAAATACCAATAAGGTATTTCCCAGCTTTTTTTTTTTGGGGCTAGGATAAGAGTCGAATGCACAATAGAGTTGAATGATGACTCTAGAATTATGGGAGCTGCATAGTTGAGACCCAGAAAAGAATTTAATAAAGCAAGAGGAAGCATGAAACATTACGCACGAGAAGTTATTTTCATCTTGGCCACTCCCAGTGCATGCTCTCTTCAGACTAAGGTTTCACTGCCACAGGCGGAGTGCTAGATTCTTGAAGCTTACTTGCATCAGGGTGATCAGAAGCTGCTTCCAACAACAAGTTGGTAGATACTCCCCTTCTCATCAATAACTAATAACTGTTTGAAGCTACTGATATCAGAGGGGAGATGGATATTTTTTACTGTTCCTTGGCACTCTGGATCGCTGTGGAGATGTCCTGGTGCTGGTGCTCATGCCCAGGTGGTCCAAAGTGGAACTTTGGACATGATGCCCATAAATGAGAGATGGGCAAGGCCAAAGCTGTAGCTGTTGGCATCAAAATCTGCAGCACTAAGGCAACCCCTCCCTGGATCCAAATACCACAGAATAGTAGGGCAAGAGGAAGGCAGGGAAAAGGTAGTGTGCTAAGCACATACCTCTTCATTAGACAGGCTTTCTATATGCCTTCTTTGATGAAGCAGAAAATACAGTAAGGGACTGGAGAAGGTCCACTATTCCCCTTCAGAAGTCAGCTTTGAAGCAGCTTCATCAAAGAGGACCTTCCGCATTTTTTTTGAATCATAGTCTTTGAGGGGTGAACAGAATTTATAACATGATATATTTTGAAGAGGTTTATTGGGAGGAACACATTTTGAATACCAACTATATTACAGCTAGTTTATTCTCTCATGCATGTTAAAATTATCTAGCCTTCTCACATATGTGCCTTCTCAGCTGTTCAGAAGCCCTAATCTGCAACCCCTCTTTTCTAGTGGTGTTTCATCTACTTCCTGTATCGGCAACTGGTTTTTTTTTTGTTTTTTTTTTAAAGTTGCTCAGGAGCAACTGGTAGTCTTTTCACCTTACAAAGCTTCAGTTTGGAAACTTATAGTCCTAGCTTTTAGGCATGAAACTCGCTCACCTGAGAAGTACAATCTCAGCTCTGCATGCCTGTGGAGGAAGTTATCCCTTTCTATATGGTTCTTTAAAAAGAATGCTGCAACAAGCTAAAAGCA